TTTCAGAAGCGATAGCCGTGGGTGGAGGACACATTTTCTATATTCAGAATTTTTCTTATTTGTCGGTTAATTTGACATAGCTGTAGAAGTTTCACCATTTATATGCCTTCTGCACGTACACTGTATTTTCAAAAAATAAAATTGGAAAATCTTTTTTTCTGCATTATATTAAACTCTGTTTCTTTTGAAAGAACAACTACCTAATTGGCCACGTTTTGATGTGCCATATTGCTTCGTACACAAGCTAGTTTGAAAAATAAAAGCATGGATCCTTCGAAAATGGCTACTTTTCCCATGGTCAGGAAAGAGTTAAGGTGTTTACATTCAAACTTTAGAAGTTTATAAGAACTCAAGAATGCCTTCAGCTTCTGTTTAAAGGGTAACTGCAAGGAACATATTTTTAAACAGCCTAATTGGGAAAAGCATGTCACAAAACAAATTTTCCGCCAAAAACAATTTTTTTACAGCAATAATTATTGCGCGAGACTCATTTTAGTTTGCGGCTATTTTGTCCGTAGGGATGTCGCGAACCACCCTAGGTTTGATTTCGAAAGGTTTCGATATTTGCAAAGCGAACTGAGGTTCGATTTCGAAAAATTTCGATATTTTCGTACCGACCGAGGTTTGATTTCGAAAAATTCGCAACTTTTGTCCACTGCGGAGTTTTGAATTCGAAAATTTCGAAGCTTTCACGGTTTCTAAAATTTCGAATTCGAATATTTCGAATATTTTTTTACTTCAGGTTCGATAAATTCAAAGATTTCAAAATTCTTTGTAAAAAAAAAATTCGAAAACTTCGAACGCTTAGAATTTTTATAGACATGAAGTTCGAATAATTCGAAGATTTCGAATTTCTTTTTGCATAAAGGTCGAGAAGTTCGAAAGTTTCGATTCTCTTTTAACGCTAAATTAAAAAAAAACAAAAAAAAAACAACTTCGAAGATTTTGAATTTTTTTCTAATCCAAGTTTTCAAAGTTCGAAGCACGGTTTTCAAGTTCCTCCACAGTTTGTTTCAAATAACGTTTTCACGACTCGCTGGTTTTCACAAAATCAAGTTTAGAAAAGTTAGGGTGTGATATCTAGATTCTGCGAAGTTGGTCAGGCAATTAAATGAGACGACGAGTGTCCCGGACGTGCTAGAATATTTGCCAGTGCAGAATTGTGACCGCCAGCCCCGGGGGGAGGGGGGGAGGTGTCTTTATCACGCAGTAGTGATTGCACGAACACACTGTTTTACGAGACTCATCCAGTTCGAAACGGCCAGGGGCGAGCAGGAGGTTGAGGCTCAGAAAAACCTTGAAGCGACCTGGCAAACTAGCTCGCCACCTCTTGCACGCTGGTAGTAATCCGATCCGGTGCTTATTTTAATCTGAAATTATTTATGCATATATATAGCTACTGTCGCTCTTCACTGCATAAAAGGTTGCGTAGATGGTCATTGTTAGAAACTCGTTGTCAGAAGGCACTGCTCGTCACATGCTTAGTGGTTCGGAAGTTCAAAGCTGTCTTTTCGACCTAAACACCTGTGCCGATAGTAACAAAAAAAAAAAAAAAAAAAAAAAGGAATAAATGCGGGAATAAAAAGCAGGAGAAAGAAAAAACTATCAAGAATTTGTCGGAAGAGTTCTATTATTGCATATTCAGAGGTTCAGAACTTCGAAACAAGTTTCTTTTACCAAAATGTGTACAGGCTAAAAGAAACACGTCCCAGGAACGTGAAGCGATAAAAAAAAAGTTTTCTTTTAATGACGTGCTGAACTTGAACACTATTAGAAATCCTCTCCCATGAGTTAATTTATTCCTTAACGTGAAAAAACAATAAATATATTATTTCGTATTCTGCAGATGGCAATGATATGTACTGTTAATTTAAATGCGATACCTCAAACAACTTAGACGAAAATAAATATCAAGTTTAGGTTATAATTGTATGCAGATACATGTTTGGACATTTCTTCGAAACTCACGTTGAATAACAATAATCACATCTTAAGACGGTACTTACCTAGGCTATACACAGATCATTCTTAAAAAAAGTATAACATATCTACCATAAATAGCTCCGGCTGCAGCGTGCTTCAAATCTGGCACAAACGATAATCGTCAAAAACCCGTCGTCCTTCCTCGCCCCTTCGGGGATTTATTTCTTTAAACCTAAGCATGCCAGAACGTTGAAATAAATGACATTGTCTTTCGTAAGAAACGCAGCACCGCGCGTAAAAGTTCGAGAAAAAAAAATTACGAATGTACCCCACTACTTGAAACCAAATGAAACCGTCCGCCGGTCTTTCGAAGTTCGACGAACGTCGAACTTTTACCCTAAAAGTTCGAAGTTCGTCGAACTTCTGACTTTTCACAATTCGGAAGTTCGAAACTTTTCGAATCCTCTTGATAAATAAGTTCGAAATTTCGAAATTCATCGAATTTTTTGGTCAGTCAAGTTCGAAAGTTCGACAAGCATCGAACCTTGCAGCGCAATAAGTTCGAAAGTTCGAAAAAGATAGAATTTTTTAGCGTAATAAGTTCGACGGTTCGAAAAGCGTCGAACTTCTTAGCTTAACAAGTTCGAAAATTCGACCTCCGTCGAATTTTACGATATAAACAATTAGAAAAATCGAAATCTTTCGAACCTTTCGAACCGCTTGATTCGATCATCGAAACTTCGATTCAAAAAAAGTTCGCGGCATCCCTATTTGTTCGTTTTAAATTGTGCGCCACAAAGTTGGTATTATACGTCACGGAGTGACGTATAGCAGCCACTCCGCGCGCGTCGAAAGAGCGGGAGTTTCAAATTCTGAAAAGTTGTGACTCCGACTAAATTACGTCCTGCGGCGTAAATATTGCTAGAAAAAATTTGTTTTTTCGCGGAAGATTTGTTTTGTGACATGCTTGTCCTAAATAGGCTGTTTAAAAAAAACTTATTTTTTTTTTTTTGCTGTTATCCTTTAAGGCAGTGGTCGGCAACCTTTTGGCGAAGCGGGCCGAGTCGCCGTGATGCCTAGGCGGAACGGGCCGGACGGCAAGCAGCGGGGAGAGGGGGGTTAAAATAATAAAAAAAGCACTTGCACGAACTTACATTGACGTACACAAATCGAAAATGAACGGTTTCTTTATGACAAACAACATGAGATACGACATTTCCACGAAAACCTAGAGACTCCTCTCAGTGAGACTTTTGGTGTTGAACTGCGCTCGCCAAACTACGTCAGTCACTCGTGAGCGGAAGTTAGATTTTATGCACTTCATTCGTGAAAAAGTCTGCTCGCAGACGGGCAGCGAATTAGTCAACTATATATTTTTTTTCTTTAGTTGACATGCGTAGGGGGGAGGGGGGTTACCGGGAGGCTGAGGGCCGTATGATATTACCGCTGGTTGCCGACCACTGCTTTAAGGGAAGACCCTGGACTTGAACATTTTTCTGTGATTTCTGATCTAATTTATATCAAATTTTTACATCTACAATAAGTCCTTGTGCAAAGCACAAACATAAGCACAATCTTGACTGTCTTTATAGTTTCCAAGAAAACCTCAACTTTATCACATGTTTCTGTTCAACTTTTTTATAATACCCCCATAAAAAATATGGCACAAAGCATGTCAGAATGTTCTAATCTTTTACAAACAGTAGAGTGTGCAAGAAATGCATTGTGATAATTTCAGCAACATTCCAGAAATTTTCACGAATGAAAGCTTTTTTTTTTTTTTTTTGCTGATTATTCGAATTGAGCCATTGAAGTCTTTGCCAATTAGAAAATTTTTTAGTTAAATTTTTTTAGAATGTTACACTATCTAATCTAAAAGGTATTAAACCCTGAAAACTATATTCAGGTTCAGGTTCTAGATCCTAAAATATTGTAGATGAAAGTTTTAGTTGTAATGAAAAAATTAACTGATAAAACGGAAAGCTTTTCAAAACATGCTTACAAATAGCATGGATATGAAATTTTGAATCAATGTAACTGTAAACATTTACTTCCCGAGTGTAGCACTTTCATGTTTTCTGTGACTTAATCGACAAAAAGAGTTATTTTAAAGGTGTGCTGAACCAAATATTTAAGTGTCCATTATAAATGGTGCACAATCTTTCCACGAGCCAGCAGCCGCCGCTGTGCACGGGCACACGCAACGAAATTGATGTCGGTATTCTTCATTCGCGCTTAAGATGACAGTGAAATGTATGGGCTCCAGGCAAAAGGAGGAGAAAGAAAGGCTTTTCATCCCTACAAGTGGAAGCTACGTGCTTCTACTTGAAAACCTGTGATCGGGGACAAAAAGAGGGTCGATACATACAACGGTCGTCGCTTGTTAAGGGCTAGTTTCCCCAGTATCGAGTCCGCGGACAAGCAGCGTGTCGACACAAAACTCCAGACAGCTACCGCCATCTATGAGCGATGGCGGCAACCTTTTCAACCTTTCCACTCTGGTTTTACTTAGAGTGGAAAGGCTGAATTTCTCTAGGCGTCTTCCTCTATGCCGTCCTTGAGGTTGTCCTAGACGTTGTCCTTGAGGTTGTCCTGGACGTCGTCCTTGAGGTTGTCCTAAACGTCGTCTTTAAGGTCGTCTGAGAAGTTGTCCTTGAGGTCATCCTAGAAGTCCTCCTTGAGGTCGTCCTAGAGGTCATCCTTGAGGTCGTTCTAGACGTCGTCCTTGAAGTGGTCCTAGACATCATTCCTGAGGTCATCCTAGGCGTCGTCCTCGAGGTTGTCTTAGGCGTTGTCTTTAAGGTCGTCTAAGAAGTTGTCCTTGAGGTCGTCCTGGACGTCGTCCTCTAGGCATCATCCTAGACGTAAAGATGACAGCTTCGCTGGTCCTCCATCTTCATGTGAAGTGGAAGGGCTTTACGTTTTTTGCCCCTGGCCTGGGGTTTGCGAGACGTCGAGAGTACACCAGCTCGCTCGTATATTCGCCGTTATTTCTTCATTCGTAAAACATAACTTTTCTTGTGATTTTTTTGTTTCAAGACACCCCCCCCGTAAGCCGGGCGATTTGCTTTCTCCAGGTAGCCAACCTACTCCCGTCCATCAGTGCGGCGACCGGGAGTTACATGCCCCAGCGGTACATCTGGCGCACTGGCATTGGGCTCCATGCGGCTCCCAGGCTGCTGGTCAGCTTCATGTACCGCCGTTACTACGCCGCCATGCTGGCTGACATGCCGAGGTACCAGTTCCTCGCGTCCACCGCGTTCTGGCTGAACGTCGTCGAGAACTTCTGCCTGTTAGGTCTAACCAACGTCTCATCGAGCGAAAGCTATCGTGAGTGCGCCCGTTTTACGAAGCGGTTCCGTCTGCTTTATTTGGAAAGACCACGTAAGAATGAATTGACTTCCGCCCAAAAATGAGTACAACTCTCGCTCTGTTGGCGACTGGTGGCTGCCGAAAAAATCCACCCGGTCCGGGATTCGATCCCGGGTCCTTTCTAAAACAAGTGGAGCGCTCTACCAACTAAATTAACCAGTAGCTGGCAGTCACTAAGGCCCACTTCAAACGGGGCAACTTTTCCAGCAGTTTTGAGGTTGCTGGCGGGTTGTTCCCTTGCTTTCCCTAGATAGACGCGAATTGCTGAGATCGGGTCTGGCTCGAACAAGCGAGCAACTCGGAGCAATTCGAAGACATTTGAAGCGGCTGCAGCCAATCAGGGACGCAATGTTTTCACGTGGCACCCCTGTGGTGGTGATGATGACAGCTAAAGACTTAATTCTGGTTTGAAATGGATCGCTTTTGGAAATAATCATTTTCAGAAAAATGAGTTAATATTGTCAACGCCGTTCAAACAAATAAGAACAGGTTTTTAGTGCGTAGCTGGGCGTTTAAATAGTGAAAGAAAAATCAAACTTAATGATGATGATGGCAAGTCGGAGCAATTCGGTTGCTGCGTGTGATAGGGACGGCCCGTGTTGCTGGTGTTGCGACGTCGAGTTGCTGGGTGAAATTTCTCCGTCTGAAGCGGGCCTAAAGCACAAAAAATGCTTTTGCGGCGTCAATCGTTGTTGGTGAGGCTTTGCGGCAGATTTCGAAGTGCATCTGTGTGCAGTTTGTGGCCCGCTAAATTTAGTGGAAAAATTTCTCCGCAAACTTTAGTAAGAAATTAGTGTCACGTGACACTGCGACGTCACAATTTTTCCTCTAAATTTAGCTGGAAAATGTCTCTACTAAATTCAGCGGGAATTTAGCGTTGTGCTAAGTCACAATGTCGTATGTGCAGTGATCCTTTCGAACGATGGTATGTTTCATTGAACCGACCCGCGGTAGCCTAAACATCATAAATGCTGTCGCGAAGATGTGGGACAGTGCTACCAGGCTCAACATCGTCCTAGAGGACGCCGCCACTGTGGCAGTATTCACATTTATGAGCTTCAATAAAATCCCGGAAGGGGGGCGTGCCGACTTGTGTCAACCCACCCGTGTTGTTTGGATTACCGTTTCTTGGTTCAGGATGAATTACGACATTGTGTCAGAAGTGGGGTACGGACAGCCACAAAGGTAGAAGACCAGGGACGGCCATTTATAAAAGAAGTATGGCTGAAGAGAGCTGAGAAAACGTTCTTGGTGTGTCGGAGAAGACAAGATGGCGGCCGAAGAGCAACAAGAGGAACGGCCAGACAAGCCTAATTTCAGTTTTTCGCCACCAACGCAGTTCGACTTCAAGCGCCCAGAAGAGTGGGCAGCATGGTCTCGCCGCTTCATGAGGTACAGGAGATTATCGCGGCTTATCAAGGAAGACAGGCCAGCTCAAGTGGACGCTTTGATCTAATGCCTGGGCGGAGACACGGAGGATGTACTGGCAGCAGGGACGCTGTCAGAGGAAGAGAAGGTGCACTTTGACGAGGTGATGAGGTGTTCCAAGGCCACTGTGTGGGGAAAAGAAACAACATGTATGAGCCAGCAAGATCTCACCAGCAGTCCCAAGAGCCGGGCGAAACAGTTGAGGCATTCGTGACAGCCCTGCACAAACTGGTGGCTCACTGCGGTTACGGAGCACTTAGGACGAATTGGTGCGTAACCTGCAAGACGCGAAGCTGTCCGAGACCTTGCAAAGTGGTTCAGAGCTCGCCTTAGAGACGGCGGTACAGAAGGCGAGACAGAAGGAAGCCGTACAAAGACAGCAGGCGCTCGTGTGTCAGGAAAACCAAACGGAGGAGCTGTCATCTGTAGACGCTCTGCAGAAAGCTTCCAGCAAAGGCCGTTTCAGTTCCGGGCACGCAGCAAATGATACTGCGGGACGAAAAAAGTCGCCGCACAGGTCAGCCCACGGTTGCACGAGATGCGGCGGCCAAGGGTTTCGCAAAAGAAATAGCTGCCCAGCATCCACATCCAAGTGCCACTCCTGTAGCAAGAGAGGTCACTGGCAAAAGATGTGCTACAAGAAATCTCTGCGGGAGGTCACCGCGGAAGAGGAAGTGGCTTCACCAGACAGATGGACACTAGGTGCATTAAAGGTGGGAAAAAAAACAGCAGCATAGAGAAAGACACTAAACCAGGGGTGGCCAAGCTGCGGCTCGCGAGCCGTATGCGGCTCTTGCCATGTTACAGTGCTGCTCGCGGCTCCCTCCCAACTCCCTGCCGGTCACACGAGCACACCCCGAAAAGAGAAATGGAACGCACTTTAAATCGAAAGGCAGGTTGCAGTTTGGTAGTCTTGTGCTACTGCCTTAGGTACACCCGTGAGCGATACAAAGGTGAACAGCCCTCCTCTTGTTGTTGACGCTCCTGCAAGTTTTGGAACATGCTCTGTTCTGATAGCGTCAGCAGATGCCTCGTCCTACAAACTAGCTGCAGTGCTGTTGCAAAAAGATGGACAAGGGCTTGTGCGTCCGGTTGCTTTTGTATCCAAAGGTCTTAGTGAGACAGAAGGAAGTTATGCACAAATAGACAAAAAGGCTTATGCAGTCACAGGGGCATGCAAACGGTTTGAAAAATTCCTGATACAAACAAAGTTCCATCTGCAAACAGGCCATCGACCCCTTGTCACACTGTTGGGAGACTGTGAGTTGCATATGCCAATCCTGCATGCATACAAAGGTTCAAGCTGAGGCTCATGCGCTTCGACTACTCCATAAAGCATGTGCCTTGGAAAGGGTTATGGACGGCAGATGCTCTGTCCAGGTCCCCTATGGAGCCCCCAGAGAAAATGGAAGAGGAGCTAGAGGCATATGTTCAGCTAGTGAGGCTTATGTTCAGCTACGGGCCATTACCTGGAGAAGGTGCGGGCTGCACAGAACAAAGATCTGGTGTGCTGTAAGCTGAGAGAGTTCGGCTCAACGGGCTGGCCGAACAAGACCGACATCCCTCCCGAGATTGCGCCTTGCTTTGAGAACAGGAACAGCCTTACCATACAAAGCAGCGTCCTGGTGAAGGACAATAAACTTGTAATCCCCAAGTCACTGAGGAAGAATGTGCTGTGCAAGTTGCATGCAGGGCACCAAGGAGTATCCAAGTGCCGAGAACGAGCAAGGAGGTCAGTGTGGTGGCCAGGATTGAGCACCGAGTTGGAAGAGGTGGTTGCAAACTGCACAATTTGCATCCAAGAGTGCACGCCAAGAGTGGAACCTATGATAGCCTCAGAGCTTCCAGAATATCCATGGCAACGAGTGGCAGCAGATCTATTTGAACTGAAGGGCAGGAACTATCTGGTAGTAGTTGATTACTACTCTTGGTTCATAAAAGTATGCCTGCTACACCAAACAACATCAGAGGTGGTTGTGGCCCACCTCAAGTCTGTGTTTACCCGCCATGGGATACCCGAGGTGTTCAGGACAGACATGGAACCGCAGTTTACGTCCCAAACTTTTCAAGAATTTACAAAGAAGTACCAGCAATGCAGAGCTGGTAATTCCAAAGCAATGGAGAGGCAGAATAAATGGTTAAAGTTCCTAAGGACATCTTGAAGAAGGCAAAACCCTGACCTGGGACTTTGAATATACAGAACCACTCCAGGCCCCTGTGATTCAGTCCAGCAGAACTGCTTATGGGATGACGGCTACATACAACACTGCCTATCTTTATTACCATCCCAGCTGTTCCTGAAAATGCCCAACCACATGTTTTTTGTTTTTTTTTCAGAGAAAGGAAAAAGAAGAGAAACGAAAGCAAGCCAAAAGGCACAACCAACAGCACAAAGTAAGCTATTGCAAGGAGCTGCTTATTCGCAACTCCGGTGACCTGTAGGGGGCGCCACCACCAAACATGGCAGCTGGATCCAGGTCACGTCGTCTTGGCCGGGCCGCCTGAACGGGTGGCGCATTCAATTTAACAGATTTTCTTTTGTTTAATGCCCAATTTTATAGGTATTTGAACTGCGACGGTTAAGTGTAGCCGGTGCACATAAACTTGCAGAGCATAGTTTTGTTTTCCCGGTGTTTTTTGTTCTTTTCATGTCAAACTTTCGTTTCTGAGATTTCGTTCAAAACCGAAACTATGGGTTCCGGAGAGACGGTAATAGACTAATCAGTTTTGACCATCTAAGGAAAGCGGCGATGACTAAAGAATTGTTCGACCGAGAGTAATTTTCAGCTAACTCGCATGCCTCGACCATGCAACTTATCTGTCTGCGAAATCGAGCTTTTGTCGTGTGCTCGGTCAACGACACAGGCTGCAGGAAAATTACGAAAATTAAGCAAGCGCTTCTTGAGCCAAGGAGCATGTTAACACGCTGGCGCCCCACTAAGCAGCTGATGCTCGTATTTCAATTCAGGTTTAAGTAGCAATCGAGAAGTCATTTTGACGAGTGGGTTATGTATTATATTATGTACTATGGTCCCACTAAAGCAATATTAGTATATTCTTTCGGTTCAAATATGAGCTTAGTTGACTAGCTATTAAGTGAACTGCTGAATAAAGGTATATTTGGCAGACAGGGAGATATACTTAAACTCAGCCAAATGGTTCTAGCCGGTAGCACGGAGACGAAGGCGGACAAACTGAAGAGAGTCTTCATCGGAGATTCACGCAGAACCGATCTGCACTGAACTTGACTTCAAATTCTGAACGGAAAAAATGAGTATTTTTTTTTTGGCTGGTCGACCTGAGCAATGTAGACTTATATTTCTGCTGGCTTCGACGGGGATGTAATATAAATATTGGAAGGCGCGATAGATCATAATGCCTTGACAGCTTCTAACTTTGCGAGAAGCGTCCCCCACCTTTTGAAAGCAGACAATTTCTCTCATTAATCGTATGCAGCGAGCAGGTTTTCCGCAATCAAGTAATTGCAAAATCAGCCCAACTCCTTCGGTGCGGTCCAGAGGCTTTTTCAGCGAAAAGCAGCCGAGATGAATAGCCAATGCACCGACCGGCATGGGTGGTTCAAACTTGAAGCTAATCGAACACAACCAAACTAAAAAAAAGCAGCTATCGAACCTTCCCATTCACTTGACTGCAACATTAGTGTTCCTCCTGTGAAACACCTCGTTTGTCGTCCTCAGTCCACTGTTCTACATCCTTATAAAGAAACCACATATCAGTTACCAAGTAGTCGTCACTTTGAATAATTCGAGACAGACAAGAAATAAAAACATTTTTCCGTGATTCCTCCCCGTCCAAAAAATCGAAAGCACGCGACTGTGTGTTGTCGAGTAAACGGGCTTTTAAACATGTGATGGAAGGAAACAATCTACTGAGGCTTCACCACACTAATGAACACTCAGGCCAACTTAAGAAATTTTCGGACCTTCTTCAAATTACATCGTTCACCACCGCGCCGACAACACGTGTCTGTGCAAGCCACCAGAGACGCGGAAGTGCGCAAATCGACCTGTTTTGGCTGGTTCCCCGTTTTCCTGCTTGGTGGTGTTTGTTTTGCTGGAGTCGCGAATAGGAAGTTTGGTATTGGTAAGAGACCCTGGCACGACGGGACAAATAGTGAGCAAAACAAACAACACGAGATTGTTTGACAACATCCAGACAACTCGTCAGGAACACCTACACGTGATCCCGACAGAAACTCCAAGAGAGAGTGTCCAGACCCCATCCATCGAGGATGAAGAACCAACGAACGAACCAGCATGGGATCCAGAAGAAGACCCAGCAACAGCTCTCATGCCAGGGGAAGCCGGCGTTGACCCCAGCACAGAGGAAGACGAGCCTTGCATACGCACGAGAGCAGGAAGACAAATCGTTTGTCCATCAAGATTCAGGGACTAGTTCCACCTGCTTTCTGGGGAAAGAGAGATGTGGCAATATTCACGTTTATGAGCTTCAGTAAAACCCCAAGAGGGAGCACACCCAGTTGGGCGCAACGACTTGTGTCAACCCAGCCGTGTTGTTCTTGACGGCTACCGTTTCTTGTTCCAAACCGAATTATGACAGCCACTGTGGAAATAACCGTTTGGTTACTCTGTCAGTACCTTTGTTGGTAGTAAACCTCACACGACACGTCGTGGTGCAAAAGATGACGTAACAGTGTTGCATCAACACCGTCTGCTAAATAGACCTTTTGTGAAAATCCCAAAAGCTTGCACGCACCCAACTGGGTGCGCTCCCTCTTGGGAGTCGTCGGTACGCCCCTCCCACTGCCTCTCCTCCCGCTACCACATGGCATAAGCAGGCAGGCACAGGTTACCGAAGCAACAATGTTCGAGCTGTCGAGAGCCGAGTCAAACGAGCGACAAGCCAACACCTACTAGATAACAAAGCTATAGTGCCAATGAAGATGTCATCATCAGCGAAGGCCAACACTGTTCACAAATCAGACACGGCGATTGCGTCACCGTTCAACTCAGCCGTGACTCCAAGCCGAGTGCCGATGCAGTACTTGCTTCCAATCTGTGTCCAGCGTTGGCCTTCGCTGGTGACGCAAAAATGTCAGCACTACCGCCTCGTCTTCTAGGCGGTGTTGGACAAGTGCAAGGAAATGAGAGAGGGGGTATTGCGTTGGCTATCTTGCGAAGCTGCACCTTTATCATCTCTCTCCTTCGTACCGGACCCATCGTCTGCTGCATTAATGCTTTGTCGAACATAGTCGAACCCTGCCACGGTTGCAGTGAAAAATAAATGGATTCGGTGACATGACGTGAAGGTAAGTTACGACGAATCCCGTATTCAAATAAGTGAATAGCTTCACCTATCACGATGCGTTTACACCGCCACAGATAGAGTACGGCACAACGACATACGACGTTCCGGAGGATGGGCGGGACGGCTGCTGGCGAGAAAGCGCGCAATCTGTACTGAAGGTTCCCTTACTTCCCTGCCATCGTGGCGCTGTACGTTTTGCAACGGGTCTATTAAGCAGGACCTAATTTTGTTAAATTTAAATGTAGCAGCATAACTGTGTACAGCCCTCTGCTGTCGCCGCAATTAATGTGCAAAACATGGCGAGGGACCACCAATTTTTCTTTTTTACTTCATGAACGAATTATTTTGGCGTTAACTTTTATGTTTTACATTGTCGAGGCTGGCCTAGTTTACACGATGCTGCAGCATTGCACAGCATTGGCCTCGCTTTGTGGCTCAATCGTGTGTGCTTGCGCAAGTGGCTTCGACAGCACTGTGGATACTACACTAGCTTTGACAGTGTGGCACAAAAAAAGTTGGTGCCAAGCGTAGTGCTTAGAGTAAGATCTTCACATCCATCATACGTGGGATGGGTATCAATTCTTAAATACAGTAATAAGGTAGAAAAGCTGGTGGGAGTTAGGGTTGGGAAACTCGAGACTAAGGAAAAACTAAACCAAGCGGACTAATGGCGCAGAATTAGGTGCAGGTGTCTTCCATTCCTTTCGTTCACTTTTTTGATGGACTCTCGTCTCCACTTGGATACCACCTGTTCATGCGTGCTACCTCACGGAAAAAGACAGAAAACGCACTGATGAGATGAAATTTGTGATTTCTTTTTAGAGCGCAGCTCTTAGGCGCCCGTTTCCGGCTTGAGCAGCGTCGCTGTCGCCGTCAACCTAACTGCGCGGTGCATTATGGGAAATGTCCCATAACGCACCGCGCGGGACACTCGTGACATCACACGTGACGTCACGAGGGTCCTGCGCAATGCATTATGGGACATTTCCCATTGATGTAATGCGTGGAGAGGAAAAGTGGGAGGAGGCTGTGGTGGAGCAGGAGGGGGAAGCGAAGGAAAGGGGAGGACGAGGAGGAGGGGTAGCAGGGAGGACGGGTATACGTCCTTCCTTCCTCGGCTTTACAGGGTGTCGTAAACATCTTTCATTTTTTTAACTAATTTTTTCTTTGATAATTTCAATCATTCTGGAGTGGAGATTTTCACGTGTTATCGCCAGTTTACAGGAAAATCGTGTACCAATAAGCCATTCCAAAAATTTGCAGTGCCACCCATTTCGGAATTTCTGAATGCAAAGAAACCAGGACGATAGCAAAACGGTGCACATGAGCTATGTGATGCGTTTGCTTTGTTTTTGTGTTCTTAACTCGCAGTAATAAGAAAGAAGGAATTAAGCCACTTCCAGGACTTGCAGAGTGTTGAACTCTGCCCAAGCAACCCCACAATTCCACGCTCCGCGCAGTGCAATGTATATTGACGAGGCCTGGTGGGATTTTCTGGAAAGGTCTCTTTTAACATTATCGGTGTTTGCAAGTGGCTTACATGTGATGATGCAATTTTCTCTTGCAGTCATCCACCGGAAGATGTTTGTGACATTCGTGGTCTCTGCACTCTTGTACATGCTGGTTTCTTGTTTCATCCCCACCGTGGCCTTCAAGCACATGCTGTCACAAGCGGTAAGACTGCGAGTTGTGCCCTATTTCGGCCAGGTGCAAAAGCTTAACACTTGGTGCACTTTCCTTGCGTTACTCACCGAGTAGGAGAGGAAGTCCCTACGCACCAAGAAGCAGCTGATGATCACCAGTGTTTTCTGCTCCCTGCTGGCTACCTACTTCTTCCTGCGTCACAACTGGTACTGTGAGCCTGGAGGTAAGTTGTTGGGGGTGGTGATATTTTCACTTGGCGACAGTGGGGAGGAGCCTTTGATATTCCCAGGGTGTTACTGCACTTGGTCTCTCTGGCTCGTGGTAATAAATTGTCTCTACTAAGTCTCGCAGTACGACGGATCGCAGCGGACGCTGAGAGCAATCCCAACCAATCTAGTGCTGTGAATGTGTCACATGACTACGCACCCAGCGCATCACTACACCCACCTGAAGGCCACGTTATGCTCAAACGGCACTGGATTGGCTCCAATGGCACGTAGCGTCCTCCGCAATTCGTCTTAAAGTAAAGCGGAGCATAGGTGGCGCGAGCTGCCATCTGGTCCAAAGAAATCATTGTACCCATTCGCCTGTCCATCTATCGGGTGTTACCTTGTGTGCGTCGTGTTATTCCACGCTCTGTCAATTTAGTAGAAATATTCGTGGCTTATTGGGTAAATGTCAACGAGGCATAAGTCCGTCAAAATCTCTGTCCTTGCATTAGTTGAGATGAGAGCAACAGTGGTAACTGAAAATGTGTACCTTTTGTCAAGGTCAACTTTTCTGTGCCAAATCGAGGCTGTTGTTTTCTATGGTGCTCTAATGCCGTCTAAGCTGCTTGCGTGATTGCTTGGCTTTCCTTGGCATCTCCTTTGTGTAACGGCACATGCAAACGAGGTGCAAGGCAATGTGAAAACTACACTAGTCTCGACAGCGTAGCATAAAAAAGTTGGCACTGCACACACCAATGATGACTTTACCACCTGTAGCAGCTAAAAGTGGCGAAATGATTGGATCACATGGATGAAATACGCTACTGAGTTTTTTTACAGAGAGTACACTGCAAAAGGGTAGTACACAGGTTTTATCTAACACGCTACTTTCACACACATCCCCGAGAAAACCGAGAGAGCACGTCATTGGGCTGACGTCGCGAGCGCCGCACTTCTTGACCAACTGCCGACCTCTGACCGTGTTACCACCTGTTCTCTCGTGTGCAGTGTACACATTCTTTGCCCTGGCCGAATACATCCTGGTCCTGTGCAACATCGGCTTCCACATGACTGCCTACTGGGACTTTGACGACCAGCAACTGTACGTGTGGTCGCTTCATCACGACCCGTCGGAAGACAAGGTCAGATGAACCACGTCTGCGAAGTCGCTCGTCGCAACCCGACAGTGTTCGCCCTGCAAAGTTTCAAAGACGGTTCTTCGTTGCACACAAGGAGGGAAACCTTGTCAACGGGCCTGCGCTCTTTGTCCGGACCGGCGCACTAGCTCCCTTCTGTTACCATGTCACTGTCGCGTGTCGGGTGCACAAAAGGACCCGCGTAAGGAAAGGTGAGACACAAGTTGGTACCCGTCGCCGGAAACTTTTTTAAGTCCTCTTTCGTTTGGGTGGCTGTGTTGACTGAGGAGCTGTTTTTCCCACCTACATGAGGCTAATATTGCATTGACTAGTTGAGCAGAGAGGGCTGTGTAGCGATTCGAACAGACGAAGCGCATAAATACTAACTAATCTCAAGACTGATCCCTACATTTGCATCTAAATGTGTTGCATTCTCTTGCAGCTGCTTACGACGAGAAAACTGGCCGACACACTGGCATCGTCCATTGGGTAGCCTTGGAACTGCGTGTAACTAGACCAGGGTGTGAAATCTATTGGCATGGACAGTACGCACGTCGCAGCTGCCACATAAAATCCTCTCCTCGCCATGGTTGCACGTGGTGCCACCAGACGACTCTCGATGAGCGTCTATAGACCGACACAGTGTTTACAAACAAGCCCGAATTTGCCCACACCAAGTGTGGGCACTGCGCATGTGCAGAAACCGAATTCGCATGAAGTGAAGCGTCTGCGCATGCGCAATGCCGTTGACGGCGCCACCGCAGCTGCGTGACGTCAGGGCCGCATGTTGGTCTATACATCAGCATAGGCTGGCTACTTGGGCTTGTGCCAATAGGACTTTACCTGGTCGATTGCGTTGCTAGAAGTTGCGGCCAGTACAACCCAATGAGAGTGTCGGAGCGAGGCACGCGACACCACGTCACAGGGCGTGTGTGACATTGCGCCGAATGCGAGGCCCGGAGAAACCGGCTGTTTGCTGGCCAATAGTCACCTGCTGCAAAACCAACGAACTTCGGATGAATGTCCACTTCCGCAAAATTTCCATCTGCTAGAATAGCGAGCTCTTTGATAACAGTTCATTCGACAACCATATATGCTCAATTTACCCGCGAATCTGTGATGGGTGCTAATGCCAGGGCCCAGTGCAATGTTTTGTGTAGAAACAATCGATTACACGGTTATGACCGCCAACGGGCACAGCGCTACAAGGAAAAAAAAGTCAGGTGTGAATCCGGATGTCGTCACATTTTTGGTCTAAAAGTGATTGACTCATAAATTCGTGATTATTTATTCCTTATTCTTCATTTGTTCCTAGAACTACATTTGTTGCGGAGTGCTGTGGCGGTAACAAGGCCCCCTGGCCTTGGCCATGGGGTGTTATTGCTACCTTGCTCTGGCGCTCTTATCAGGTGGCTGGGGCCGCAGCCTCCACAGTTTGCCAAGTTATTGTGAAACAGACTAGTACATGGGTAACGTTTCATGGGCCAGGTTTTCCATGCTTCTCTATGGGTGACACTCGTTTTTAAAGTGCTGCATCACGTGACACTTGGCACTCACCCTACGTGTGTTGCTTAGGCGCAGCTTTGTCGTTCGCCCTGGTTTCGTGCCTCAGTGGCAGCAAGAACAGTTTTATTTTCACGTTGAAGCGGAGGGATCTCTGGCACGGTGTTCAAGCCGGCGCTTGTCGAGGTCGGAACTGGCGTGCCGAGCGGAAAACATGTGCCCTCAGGTGCCATAGCAACAAGACACTCCTTTTTTTTTTTCTCAGTTGCGTTGTTTGGTTGGCAGAGACGCTGTTGGCATAGGCAAGTAATTGGACGTGTGCCAGTAAGACTCTATCTGGTCGATCGCGTTGCAGCGTTTGAAGTGCTGTGTGTCCTCACCTAAGGAGTACCTTACATTGTCAACTAGACTGAAGGTTTTGCAGTACTTGTAAGATCAAATCACACTATGTTTGAGAAATGGTTACTCGTAACAATGTCAGAATCATTTCAAGCCCACAATAAAAAAAAATTGCGTAAAAAGATTAAAAAAATATATATACGTATACGCCGATCGAAAGGGTTCTAGGGCTACCTAATAGATGACACCAGTGTTCCAATGCGTTCTCCTGTCATAACAGGCTACGAGGGAATGCTGTACTTGAGCACAGTCGAAGACAAATGTGCGAAAGCGCCACCTTTGCCAGCTTGAGTAAAATCACAAGCCGTTAGGTCGAAGTAACTACGTTGACTGGTGTTTTTTTCATGCAGCGTTTATCAAGTTTTGTGATTAGGGTGCATTGTTTTCACGCAGTGCATTGAGAGATCTGATACTGCGGTGTTAGGTTCTAGCCGACCAGTGAAAGATGGGCTTCCATCTTGTACCGGACCGTCACGTGAAGACTTTGCCTCCATGCTGCATTTCTTACTCGGAAAGCATTCAAGTCTGTCCTTAGTCTGGGAATTACAATCTCCTCATTTTTTTCACGCGAATCTCACCAGGCGTGCATGGCACAGAAAGTCCGGCGGGACCATCTCTTTCTTGGTCAATATTTTAGAGTCGCATCCTTGTTGTTGAGTTGTCACTTTTTCTCTTTTAACAGTCCTTTTTATGCATTGATGAGATTTGCTTCCTGTTTTCGAGCTTTTTGCTTCATTTTTGAGCGGTAATGGGAAGCCTGTTTACACGTCAACTACTTTGGAGGTATGAATACTTTTCCTTAGCTTTTCATAAGTGCGTTGTTTCTTATACATTTTTATTATTATTACTTCTTTAATTTTGGGTGGTGGGTTGTGCTTTTCCAGCCCTTGTGCGAGAGGTATCCAATTTTATCAATTCACTTCTCTCTGGCCGCTGATCGATCCAATTGTGTTCACATTATGTTAAGTCTGGTCAGGATGCATCAGATTAGACTAGGTAAAATGAACTGCAAGATATTAAGAGGCTTGCTTCATATAGAACATGATTAGAATTGACCGACTGCACGTTTGTCTCTTGCTATTGTTACCGCTGTCGAGCACACAATCCTCGCAATGTTGATTACGAAAGAATTGCTTTCCAGTTATTATCCAAACTTGCCGACATGTTGACAGGCCATTCTGTGCAGCAGTTGATCCCGGTGGTTGTGATCTCCTTCCGAGTTCTCCGCACACACCCCACTAATGGTTGCTTTGTATTTCTTCACCTACCTATGCCCCTGTTTGTTCCCCTCGCTCGCATCTTCAGGTCCTTGTTTTCGGTGTCCGACGTTTCTATGACAATAGACCGATCTTGCCAGCCAGTTTCTTTGTGCCACCGCTGTTGCCATACGTCCCGGGAGCTGTAGTGTTTCTGCACGTGCGACAACCCCGCTGCAGGTTTGTGCCAGCAGGGCGCAGGCCTAAGGCACCTCAGACGTGTGTCCGGCACGCGCGTTTACTGCGTCCAAAAAGATATTCCTTCAATTTCTGCCCGACGACGTCATAAAAGTGTCACACCGTCGCTGGCCGTGATCTTGGCAGTGTCGCAGCACCGGTTGTGGACGTGGCAGGTGCTTGCTCTGCTGCAGGTCACTCCAGTTTGACAGACCACGTAGGGTGACCACCTCCCTGCTAGTGAAATGGGGGACACGCGGGGCAGAGGGGGGGAGGGGAGGGGAGGAGGGGATTTATTAAGACGACACAACGAACCAAGGCTTTGTTAACACATTTATTATCCCGTACTGTTCATTCACCTGCTAATTGTATTGCAGCAATTAAGCTCAAATAATTTTCACTAGCAGTGATAGATTATTTTGAATGCCAAAAATGGTATTACATGTGCCGAAGTTGAAAACATAAAAATCGACTGTACCAGAAGTCAATGCATCAAATGGAAATGAGAAACAGTAAATATTTTTCTGGTTATTGTTTTCTGTCCACGCTTACTTCTATCAACATGGTCCGACACAAATTTTTAACATTACCTATGTTCTTTTTTGACCGTTGCATGTGTGGCTGCCTTCACTAAACAAAAAAAAAAAAAAAAGAAATACACAGCAAACCTTTCGCATTGGCATGGTGCTGCAAAAATTTTTATCATTATGTTCTTTTTCGACCGTTGCACGTGTGGCTGCCTTCACTAAAAAAAAGAAATACACAGCAAACCTTTCACATTGGCAAGGCAATTTGAAAATAATTACGAAATTTTATATTTCAACTTTTGGCGAGAACTTTTTCGTACAATATTCTCCCACCAAAGGGAGAGGCACAGCGGCGCATCCCGCAATGCTTGGATAGATCATAGAGCATGGCGTACCATTTTGATTCACACAATTACTAGCGACCTCCGCACTTCCCCGTGCCCCATTTTTCGGCAGCACCGTGAGTTGCGGAGTGAATTTTACGACAGTGTGAAATGCGGGACATTTTGTAGATTTGGGACTTTCTCGCGGGACGCAGGACACGAGCCCCCAATGCGGGACAGTCCCGCGAGTTGCGGGACGGGTGGTCACCAAGGAGGATAGAAGGGTAGGAGAGGGAATGACGCCAGCCGCGTAGCCTCCACAAGCCATGCTCCCTTGACGCCTCGCCTCTTTCTCATTTTCCTCCTTACTCTCCTCACTTACCAGGGTAACGTGACCAGATCACGTGACCGTAGCTAGCCTTCGTCTAGCCATGTGGTACTAGAATACACCACAGTCGAGCTTTCGATCTGATGAAACCTACCGGACAGAGCGCGCGCAAGCCTGCAAGGAGTCCTTCTACAATCAACCATCCATCTCACACGTGACGTGTCACGCGCACCAATTGCCAGAGAGATCTACGGTCACGTTGGCCACAACATTGTTTAAACTTTTTATGACAAGGCTTCACCAATATTGCAACGTGCCCTCTCCTAGTACTTCTAACCTCCTTGGTGGTCACCCTAAGACCACGGTAAAGAAGGTGACAGTAAGTCGCACTCGCATTTGCTCGTACGTTTTGCCGGGTCTTCTGGAGCGAACCTCTAGGATCGAGAGGCATCCGACAACACGGCACGTCGGCTTTTGTGAGTTACTTGATGCCTCTTCGGGAGCAGTTTTGATGACGGACAGTACAAGACTCAAAACACCGGTCGAAGATACGTTCTGGGAATCGTACCGAGATGGCACGAGCCGTCTCGTGCAGCGGCACTACTCATGTCTTACGGTGGCGTTCTGCGCATATATGGAATGCTTAGTGCAGTTGGTCTATGGCACATTCTTTTTCTGCGCAATAATCTCGCAAATTCGCATGAAAAAACAAACCCCAAAGTGTGCATTTACTAGAATAGTTTGTATTTTAAAACAAGCCCATGCATACTTCAGACTGCCGAAGCCAAACCCTGCCCTTTCAGCGACGTGCGCTTTGTTATCAGTTCTAAGAATGCTGCAGGCATGCCACCGTAGCTTTACAGCCAAGGCTGTACAATGCACCCTTCGCTTTGGATTGCAATCTTACTGCGCAAGTGAGAGGCCTGGAGAGGGCCACAAGCGCATGCCCTTAGCTTTAGTTCTACCATACTTAAGTGAAAGGGGGTACCCCCAGTTCATGAGCAAGCAAAAAGCAGAGTCCTCTTCCATGGGTAGGAGCTTGTGCTCGAAGCATTTGGCTAAGCATCAAATGCAATACGGGCGGTCAGGTTTTTCCCGGAAGTCAAAACGCCTGTGAAAATGTATGGTTTTTGTCCAGTCTAAATAAAAACAGTATTCGAGAAGTTTTTCCTTACTATAGCTTTCTTTTCCCCGGTTTAAGCACCTCACTTTTTGTAATTGGACCATTGTTCGAGTGTATAAATTTTATTGTATTTTTGTTATTGCGAGGCGACTACTTGGAACTTACATTGACCTGCCAAAGCGAGATCACCACACCGTGTGAGGTGGCCCTGCTTTGGCACGGCCTCGTCCTCCGAGTCCAAGCAGTAGTTCTCGGTGATCCGGAGGAGCTGGACCGAGCTGCCGACAAGGCACACCACGCCGTTGTGGGTTGCCCGCGACACGTTGCGGCCGTTCACCACCCCCAGGGGCAGCTCAGGATGCATGGCACCTGGCTCGAGGTGATGAAGCCAAGGCCCTTTCTGTCCCATGACAGCCCCACCATGTGCAACCCATAGCTGGGGCGTTTCGTGTGCCGCCACGTCTGGCTGCTCAGCGGCTCCTGCGAGGCTTGAGGCTTCAACGGGTGTGGTCTTTCACAATTTCTCAACGGACGCCTTGGAGCTTTTTCTCGCCTGTCAGTTTCATTTCTCTCATTTTCCCCGTTCCAGAGAACATCCTCGTGTGCACTGAACGAACGAAACAACGACCAAATAGAAAACGCAAGTTGAACAATAAGCATTTTTGTTTTTTTACAAAAAATCAACATAGGCTCTAGTAAAACAGTTTTGCCGCACCCGAACCTCCCAACACCAGTAACTTCCTTGGGAATGTCAAAACCTAGATCTGAAAAAGAATGAAGAAGCATGGCACAGTCGATTGAATGAACAAAGAATAAATAGAGTAAGACCATCAAACCCTATAAAGATGGAGCGAAACACCCCAAAAATGTCACGAATAAGCACCCAGATAAAAAGCAAAAGAAATACTGAACAAGTTTCGCTGCGACAGTAGAGACAGGGACATGGAAAGGTACTTACAGCCCCTGCTGTCATCATGACACTTAGCAACAGAACTGTGGTGACAGTTGAAGGAGTTTGCAAGTCTTTGCCAAAAAAGAAAAAAAGAAGACATCTGGGAGGCCATACTTGCTAGTGATGCTAGCAGCAAGTGCCACTGCTGCTGCTGTACTACCAACTCGGTCACAAGAAAGGAACTACGTGAGATCAGTGCCGTTTACTTTCCTACAAGCTATTGCTGTATCCGTATGGTCCCCGTGGCAGAACTTCCTTAAACGAGAACTAGAAAGTGTGCAGAACAAAGGTTTGAGATTTATTTATTCTGATTATTCTTTTTACACTAGTGTTTCTGGTTTGCGAAAGCGAGCGAATCTTCCTGAGCTCGCTTTAAGGCGGAAGATATCTCGATTGACTCAGTTTTACAAGATCTACCACCTCAACCCTACACCTAGAAAAATTTTATTCCCACGTCCCATTTCGTTTTTCCCAAGACTAGACAACAGCTGTAAAATAGAGCCTATATTTGCCTATGCCAATTCTTTTCTCCCTTTGACAATATTAGAATGGAACGCTTTACTTGATAAAATGGTTACAACTAACAGTATGGACATATTTAAAAAGCTACTAGGCGAACATTTAGATCCCTGTGCAAACAATACTGAGTATTATGTTGATAACGTGCCCTTCATTCTTTTTTATTTATTTGTATTTTTGTTATTGTGCTCACGGGTTTGTATTACTATGTTCTATATTGAAACTTTTAGTTTCCCATCCCCTGTGTAATGCTCTGTAATGGGGCCTTCAAGGTATGAAATAAATAAATAAATACAAAGAGTCGTGCGCTGCCTCAAATGACTCCACTTCAAAATATAGCATTTTCTCCGACATACGACCAAGAGTGAGTCAGTACAAGTTCAGGATGTAGCAAAAAGGACGACAGATAAGGACGAGCTGGCAGCCGGGCATCGCGACAGAAAAGGGATATTTAGCAAGGAACGAGAGATCCCGTAATGCAGAACGAAAATTCCGTCCCACTCCTCAAATGCCTCCACTTTTGTAGCACGGTTCTCTCAAATGGGGAAAACAAACCCAGACTGACAAGCGAAATCATAAAGCAACAAAAACTCTGCCTTAGCAACTCCCCTCTCTTTTGATGGCAAGCAGCCATTTAGACTGCAGGTACCACACAATGCAACGTTGCACACAACCTACTAACAAGCCTTGTGCCCCTTACCACTCTAGCAGTTATTGGAATCAACGACAAGCTAAAATAATAGCAATACATTCTTTTTATTCGGGTTTCAGTACAGGACGACACAGACACATAGAAGTCTCTAAAATATTATATTTCGAAAAAGTTTGACGACACTCGCACAAAAGCAGACATCACTTGATTGTGATGAATAAATACTGCAAAATGATACGCTTCCATTGATCAAACTCGTGTTTGAAATTGCGACAGACGCCTAGGGTGAAATCTTCAAGATCGACAAAACCCAACCTGTTTCGACGCTTTATAATACAAGAAAGTAATAGATCGGGACTGTAGCTTTGAACTACAATTACACAAAAAACAAGCTTTTTTTCTTTTGTTATGCAAAGTTTTGACGTTACATTTTTCCCATTCCTCGCGATGACATCGCCAATGTAGGAAACCTCCAGTATGTATCTGTTCTCAATAAATTGACATATTACTCAACTATAAGACAGACAAAGGCCGACAATGTGAATCAAAGCACCGTACACAAGAAAGTTCTGTCAACTCGTTCCAGCTTTTCCTACGTCATCAATCCACGGCAAAAAATGCTTTTGACACCGGAGTCGCCGGTGTCCTCCAATTGGAAGCAGCCGTCCGCATCATCAACAGGCATTAACAATCATTACGGTAACGTTGAAAACGGAGCAAGCCGGGGATGAGGCAACATTCGAAACCATCAGGTCACAAAATTTGAACCGCTGAGCAGCTGCAAAAGAATGTACCAACTCGTTGGATGGGCTTGCAATGAAGGAAAGGAAGGCTCGGATATAATGCAGCAAGGGCATTGACATTAAACCAGGTAAACGTCCCAATTTGAAAGGATAACTGGAAACGCGTAACCAAACCGATCAACGATGAGATGTGGCTCATTAGGGAATGCTACAAAAATGGCAGTTTCGAGTCACGTGGCTCTGATGAGAGCCCGTGATTGGTTCAAAGTTAGCAGTTTCGTCACAGGAGTGGTTGGCCTATAGGATGCCAACCGTGGCGAACTGGGGAACCATGGGCATATGCAGTGCCAATTGAATCACCTGTTTT